TCCATCTATGCAGTAAAGTGATTTATACCTGGTTTCAGGGAAAACGACTCCCATATATGTAAGCAGAACTTGACTCTTGCTCAACAGTGACTAGTTTTGATCCTTATGCTGCTAGCATTAGTAAATAGGGGTGTGTGTGTGTTCCTGGCTTTCATGCCTAGGCAAATATCATACATCCCATGAATATTTAGGAGGTGGTTTTCTTGGTTAAGCACACCCTTCTGCATGCATGCCTGAGCTAAGGGCAGATGGATTCCAGGAAGTAAATGCTACATGAATCCTCTGCCCTTACTCAAGTTGGCCATGGCCAGAAATGCTAGAGGGGTCTTTTCGAAAGTGATTTACCAACAAAAGCATGGAGACATGGATGGATGGGGAAGTTTGTTTTGAATATTAAAAATTAATTGTATAGCTTTTTTGGTTTGTGGTGCTCAGTCAGTGTAGTTCCACTTTAATAAATGCACTTTTTTCAACTTTGTATTACAAAGCCATTTTCCTCCAACGTATTCTTCAAAAGTCAGTAACCTGTAGATTGCAATCTGGGCTTGATGACCCGCCATCCCACAGCATCAGTGCAATGCAGTGGGACTACTTGTAAAGATGGAGCTGTAGTAGGGAGTAGTCTCTGCCTCCTCGGTATTTTGCATGGGGCAGGAGCCAAAACTACAAACTGCAGTCCACCACGTATCCTGGCTAGTTGTCTCCAGAGTGGTGCCAGCAGCAGGAAAGATCTTAAGGTCATTGTGAAGCAATGGACTGGGCATAATGGTATAGGGCTGCTTTCACGCTGATGGCTGAATTTTGCCCTCACCACGGGTGCAGTGTACCAGCAGCTTTCCTGCGGGTCTGCTACGCTGTAGCCATAGACTTCTGTTATGAATGCTGGAGTTTTGATGTGCTTTCAGAAAGTGCATCTCACCTGCAGGATATCCTAGAAGTCTATGGCAAAGTGCAGCTAACCCAGGAAAGTGAAACTGCAACACATCAGTGTGAAAGCAGTCTTATTGGGGGCTCAGAACAGTAAGGGTTCATGTACATTTGCAGTGTGGGGGGTGGTAAAACCCCACAGAAAATGTTTTACCAGCCCCAAGTGAAACCCCTTCATGCAGTGTCTAGGGGTGCACACATGTCGCAGCTTCAGCAGGCGTTATATGCCCGGTCATGGTGGGTGCAGCACCTGCCAAGCATAACCCATTAAAGTGAATGAGGCCACTCTGCAAAGGCCTTGCATCCTTGTGCAGTACAGCAAACAAGGGGTTAAAGCAGGCAACATTACAATGTGATTCAATACAGTAGCAAACAGAGGGACCTGCTCCTTTGGCATCAATTGACCTTTTTAGATTGTTAAGCTCTAAGGTAATAACTGGGGGCAGGGGGGGGGGGGTTGAGCTGGTAGTGAAAATTAAAGTACAGATATTAGGTGGGGGGAGGAAAGGCTTGCCTGAAGAGATTTCAGGGTTCTTCTACATGTAGACAGAGTAGGAGACAGTCATATGGATTGGGGTAGGGAATTTCATAGGATGGAAGAGAATGGGGAGAAGATCTGGAGGAGGCAATTCTCACTAGATCTGGTTTCCCACAGACAACAGAACATGTAAATGCAATTTTAGTAAATGTAAACTATATTCTGCTGATGAGAAAAAGGTATTTAGCAGTCTTGTGACTTCTATCAGTGTCCAGCAGAGCACTGGGTAAAGCTTGTAGGAGTTTTCATTCTGACTGTCCTATGAGATTGCATGACCCTTGACCTTCTGTCTGGACAGCACTGGTTGGCCCTTTGTTAATCACAACCACCCCCCCAAAAAAAAATCTCTACCAATACATACCAAACTGAACATGTGCAGAGTGCCTCCAGGAGCTCTGTACTATCAGATGGATTGAGGACAGTAGAAGGGAGAATCTGAGAAGTCTGGATCAAACCTTTTTACACAATGCAGAGGATTAACCCCACAGTGAGTATAACAAGCATGCTTTACTCCATATACAGAATGATTTTACTGCTGCAGGTTTAGTAATACTTTACAAATTTTCTAAGATGGTTTGTTGGTAGTAAAGTAGTAATATTCCATCTAGTACCCTAATTTGACTTGTAGTGATACATATTGAGGTATTTAATGCATCATTACTTTACCGCCACAATCTTATTGTAAGTATAAAGCATCCCAACCTCCTGTGGACATAAGTCATAGAAACCGTCACATCACGCTGTGGGAGACATTGATTGTACCATGGTAATTAAAGTTACTAAACCCAGGACCCTGTATGCACTAGATCTGGTCTCCCACAGTAAACAGACCATGGAAATGCAATTATTTTTTAGTAAATATAAACTACTAAATACCTTTTTCTCATCAGCAGTTGGAGCAGTCTTGTGACTTCAGCAGAGCACTGGTTAAAGCTTGTAGGAGTTTTTCTTTCTGCTCTAGGAGGATGTGAAACCCTTTACCTTCTCTGGACAGTTCTGATTGGCCTTTGCTGATGACATGAACTCTCCTAAGGGACAAAAAACCCCTAACAATACACGCCAAACTGAGCATGTGCATGAGACTACAGATTCAGTCTATCGAGTGATCCTGTCTTCTGTCTCTCCCTCTTGTTGAAATGACCAAACAGCATTTTTACACAATGCAGAGGATTGACCCCTTAGGTTCCACAGTGAGTATAGCAAGCATGCTTTACTAAACCCACGACTGTAAAATCACTGTATATGCAGTAACGCTTTAAGTGTTTAACAGGCTGTAATTTCTTAGGGCTTGAGCAAGCATATTGCTTCTGGAAATAGAACAATTGGGACATTTTCTGTTACAGAAATCAATTGTACAGATTTACAGCACACCTTTTTAAGCCTTGGACAGGCTGCAATTTGAGGGCGAAAGCAAGTACATTGCATCCATCAGTGAAAAATAATGAAAAGAAAAAAAAATGCTATAGATTTGCCCTACAGTTATTAGACCGATGTAGACACTCTGTTCTATTTTGGCCATAGAACAAGCAGGGTTTATCGTGCAAAAACAAACTTGGGTTATCTTTCACACAGAAGAGGGGAAAATATACAGATTGGAAGCTTTTATAACTTTTCCATCTGAAATATACCTAAAAAAGTTGCCTTCTATACCTTTCCATCATATAATTAATGGAAGCTTTTTTTACCTTTTTTTGGACAGGCCGATTTTTCAGTTTTGAGGTAGACTATAGCTGCATTCACACTTGAACGATTTGTAGCTTGAAGCTCGACTCTCCATAGATGACTGTCTTTTAAGTTTGAGAGTTTTTGAAGACTTGAGCTTCAAGCTACAAATTATCCAATTGTGAATGCAGCCTTAGACTTTTGCAACATCCAATTTTCCTTCTCTAATTTGACTTCAATATTTAAACCAAACAAATTGTTGGTGATTTTAAGTACACCTTATAACAATTTTTGAATAGGCTGCTATTTCTGATGGTGGGAGCACCCAGATTTGAGCAACAAATATAAAATTAGTGATTTTGGGTTTCTAAGATTCTTAGTTTTCCCTAGTGGAAGTCTTCCCTAAGGAAGATTCAGATTGACCCCAGTGCTTCCCAGCATCCCTGGATTTCCGAGAATAGCAGCCTGCTTTGGGGAGTCAGTACCTCAATGACTTTGTATTTTTAAGAAGATTCTTATTCCCTAGTGTTTACTAATGGAGAAGATCACTTCCTCCCCCCCCCCCCCCCCCCCCCCCCCCCCCCGTACTTCCTAGTGGCCCTGGAATCCTGAGAATAATAGTTTCCTACTTGGATGAGTCTGAGAACCGCAACCTGGGAATCGTCTGCAGCGCAACCCATCTCCACAATCAGGAGCTCTGGAGAAAACAAGGCGGTTCCTTAGACTCTGCACCTCGGCCCTTCCAAGGGCCCTCACTTTTTTTTTTTTTGTACAAGTGGTCATGCTGGGTTCTCCCCTTTTAGTACCAATAGGTAACCTCCTTATCCTAAACTTTGTGCACCCAACTGTATCTGGTGTACCTGCATTCCTGGAACCCGTGTGCACATCCAGCTGCTATAAAACCTGTCCCCCTATTAGCCCTGCACCTCAGTGCTGTGGCTTACCAGTATGCCATGTTCTGGCTGTAAGGCCAGTACCCCATTGTTGCACAATAGTCCTGTGTTCCACACTTTCCCAGATGCTAGAGACTCCCTAGTACTTTCCTGCTCAGCTGTGGCCTGCATGGGTGTTCTCTGAATACACAGCCATCCAGCATGTAGGCTACATGGAGTCTACAATACCAACCATATGTCCTGGTCCGGTCCAGGACAACAAGCAAAATTTTTTTTTTTTTTTTTTTTTCTTCTGTGCAGTGAAGTTAGATTTGAAACTTTTCAGAAAGTTAAGGCTCTGTTCACGCCTGTTATTTTGATTGTGAGTTTGTGTGGGTTTTTTGGTGCATGTTGCGTTTAGGGAAGGCCAGTTATTTCAAAGGGTTGCCCTACATGTTAAAAACTACTAAAAGGTGAATGAACTTAGTTCTTAAAAAGGTACCCCCAACACAACTTGCTAATGACATTGCAGTACATCTGCTAAAGGGATGCATGTTTTCTGTGCTTCGCAGAAACATGCATGGTTTTGTTGCGTATTCCTGCAATGCACAAATGTGAACTAAGTCTAAAAGTTCCTCATTTTAGAATATATGTAATGGAATTATTTCGTATGCAGATAAAACTGAATCTCCTTCCCTGCTAGATAGATGGAATTCTCCAACTCACTGCTGAAACACACCACAGTATACTGTGTGTAGCTGATGAGACAGAGTTTCTGTATCCTTCTACACCCTGTTCCAAATTATTATGCACATTTAAATGTCACAAAGATTAAATATTATTTTTCAGTTTAACTCATGGATGGCATTGTGTCAGGGCTCTTTTGATCACTGAAAACAATCTGACACCTGTGATAATTAGATTGGCTGGTGAGCCCAATTTAATGAAAAACTACTAAAGGACGGTGTTCCACATTAAGCAGAGCACCATTTTCAAGCAATATGGGGAAGAAAAAGGATATCTGCTGCCAAAAAGAGTGAAATGGTTCAATGCCTTGGACGACGTATGAAAACATTAGATATTTCACGAAAGCATGAGCATCGCACTATTAAGAGATTTGTGGCTGATTCAGAGCAGAGATGGGTTCGTGCAGAGATGAGTACAGGTGCTAAAAAATACCATTTACATAGCAGCAAACAGATATTTGAAGCTGCCGGTGCCTCTGGAGTCCCACGGATATCAAGGTGTAGAGTCCTCCAGAGTCTTGCAACTGTGCATAAACCACCTATTCGGCCATCACTAACCAATGCTCACAAGCAGAACCTGCTGCATTGGGCAGAAAAATACATGAAGACTAATTTTCAAACAGTCCTGTTCATTGATGAGTGCCATGCAACCCTGGATGGTCCAGATGGAGTAGTGCATGGTTGGTGGATGGTCACCCTGTTCCAACAAGGCTGAGATGTCAGCAAGGCGGTGGTGGAGTCATGTCTTGGGCTGGAATCATGGGAACAGAGCTGGTTGGCCCCTTTAGGGTCCCCAAAGGTTTAAAGATGACCTCTGCAAAGTATGTGGAGTTTATGACTGACCACTTTCTTCCCTGGTACAGAAGGAACTATGCTTTCTGTAATATCTTCATGCATGACAATGCACCATCTCATGCTGCAAAGAATACCTCTGCATCAATGGCTGCTATGGGGATAAAAGGAGTCATGGTGTGGCCTCCATCCTCCCCTGACCTCAATCCTATTGAGAACCTTTGGAGCATCCTCAAGCAAAAGATCTGAGGGTGGGAAGCAGTTTACATCCAAACAGCAGCTCTGGGAGGCTATTCTGACATCTTGCAAACAAATTCAAGCAGAAACTGTCCAAAGACTCACAAGTTCAATGGATGCAAGACTTGTGAAGCTGCTATCAAATAAGGGGTCCTATGTTACAATGTAACGTGACCTGTTAAAATGAAAAGTTTGATTGAAATAGCTTTTGGTTTCAGTAAATACGCTGCAAACACAACAAATGACAATTTTCAGTTCTTTACAACCTATAAAGTGTTTTTAAACTTACTGTTCGTTATAATTTGGAACAGTGCATTGTAAGATTTTTTTTTTTTTTTTGTTTAAAAAAAAAAAAAAATACTCCTATCATTAGGAGGTTTGTTCAGTAAAATTTGAATTGTACTCAATAGTTAACATAAGAATTATGCTGACTGTTATTTACATCAATTTAGGTAAATGAGAAAAATATAATATGCATAATTTGGAACAGGGTGTAGATGTGAATCTTCTGAATCGCGTTGCCTACCTGAAACAAGGTGGTTCAGGCACATATGGTGGATTTTATCCATTCTAACGAAGATTTATTTTCTACAGGAATTTTTTTTTTAATTTTGAAGGAAACGGCAAGGTCGCGCTTTTTAGATTTTATTTGAAACTAAAGTTTTTCATAATTTTTTAAAAAAATTATATAAGTTAACAATAGAACATATGTAAGTATAAATAAAATGAAAATTGGGTAATGTAAGGGTAACTTGGGTCACGATCTGTGGAAATTAAAGGGTCTCTAGAGGCACTGGAGTACAAAGGTGTATAAAGAACAAGGGATCTGTATGAAACAAAGGGACATGATGTTGACGGGACAACAGGGAACGTTTGTATACATTGTGGTCAGAGTAGTGAAAAATGTATACACAGGAGTGCACCTTAGGTTGATTCAGATGCTGTAGATACAAGGGGAGGGAAGTCATTGCTCAAATACCAAGCATTGCTCCAGTTAATACTGTACTGTAAAGATGGGCTTTTGTTTCTATTAGATGGGGTGAGATTGGTGGCATGCAGACTACAGTAACAGGTGACAGAAGCTATAAGGTAAATGTGGTGGTGCTGAAAAAATTTTAATTTTCCATCTGTCCAGCGCAGGTCAGACCACTGCCCTTTTTCATCAATTTGTGACGATGCCTAGTCAACCTCACACCACGCTGCCACTGATTCGCAACAATGACTCGCCTCACCCTGCACAAAGATTTTCCAACTTTCGGAGCCACAGTCTAAGTACCAACAGACTAAACGATTGCCACTGACTTTAGTTAACTAGGCAATTAACACTACTATTTTTCAATAGCTGATGGCAGTAAACATTAATAGCTCTAATGGAACTGATAGCTTGAGTACTTCTGTTAGAATACTGCTTCCCCGTCCGAACACAGACAAGACACCACAGCCGACCATACAAGACTAGGCGACATCAGTCTGTCTGAACATGGAACTCTTTTTATTTTAAACTCAAACAGGCTTTTTATACAGTACACAGACTGATCCCATGATCAGGGGCGGACTGACCATTTGGAAATTCGGGCACCTGCCCGGGGTCAGTAGGGGGCCCCATGAGATGCCCCATGAGTTGTCAGTCTGCCCCTGCGCATGATCATATGCAAACACAGCTATATACAGAGACTTAACACTCTAAACAGTAAGTTAATTAGGTTAGCTAGCTGGGTGACCAAAACAAAAGTTGAATGGGAATTCATAGCTAGACAATGGTTTGATAAATTAGGATCTCACTACAGAGCAGAGGGTTCGGCTCCTTCAATTCACATGTCTAGTTCAGAATAGACAACCAGGAATAGTTTTCATATGGCTGATTTTAAATATTACTGTCCCATCTGAAGTAATTCCAACCACTTTCTCAGTGTCCATTAGTCACCCTATGCCGCTAAGACACAGGGTGCTTGCACATAAGAGGGATATGGGGAGCTTAGAAAGGAGTCTCTCAACCTCTGCAAAGTAAGCTGGGTTCCATGAGCCCCCCACCCAAAGTGACTCCTGTCACAATAGTAATTTACAACTTTAAATAAATATCTGTACAGACACTGTCACCACACAGGTATAGCCAGAGATTTACCATATAGTAGTGCTTTTCAAGAGATGGGGATTCTTCACATTTTGCATTAGTCCTCGGTCACACCAGTGCAACCTATGTGATTTGATAGTTTCAAATCGCATGGAAAGTCTCACCCTATTGTTCGCAATGGAAACGGTCATATAGGTGCGATTCCGACTGTCAAAAGTTGCAGAGATGTCTTCCAAGTCACACCTGAAGTTGGACTGACATCTGACTTTTAATTCGTGCAAATTTCAAGTGAAGTCGGATGATTTCAAATTTGGGTTCGTTGTGATTGAAGACTTGGACAATTGTAATACCTTTTTTTTTGAAAATATTTTTTCCTAATGAAAGGTTAAAAAAAAATGCTAAATATGTTAGTTATTGCAAAGGTAAGACAACAATGCTACAGCAAAACAAAAGCATTGAAAAATGAAAATGCTTATCAAGTCCTGTTTCAGCAAAATACAATCCATGAGCAAGATGGTACAGTGACTGGACAGACGTTCCCTCTTTTGATGGTAAAACTAGAGCGGTCAACTGCAGTGCAGCTGACAAATGATCTGACCAGATAAGCAGCTGAGTGGCCATAGGTGGTCATGGTGTTTACGATTATGACACATCGTTTTTTTATATAGGTATTAATATCTTGACTACCTATGTTAGTCTATCATGCATATCCTTGTCTAGCATAACTTTAGTTTAAATGGATATAAATATGATCAGTTTCTGATCTCCAATTCCTCTAGGAGAGGAATTGGGCCTGTTCTGCTCCTGATACCTCCTAGGGTAGTGGTGTTTATGGTCAAAATACTAATTAACTGACAGAGGTGAATATATCCTTCTAGCTGTACTGTTTCAGAAGTTATTAAATACAAGTTCTTGATTTCACCAGGGAAGAGACAGCAATGTGTATTGCTCATGACTCCAGCTAAGCTATTTACGATGGGGGGTGATCAGGCAGGTTATCTGGTTGTTTCCTGATTGCTCAAGCTTGCAAGTTTGATGGTTTTGCTAGGGCACCTAAACTGAAATCGGTTTTGTGGTTAGACTCTACTACACTCAGAAAAGTACTGATAATTCTGTTTGGTTATGCAGCTGGACAATGATCTAAAAAAACATAAGACTGGTGCATTCCAAAGTGTGCTCGAAGTCACAAACAGATTGCCAGAAAATCCTGAAGAAGAATGTCTGCTGAGTGCAGAACTCATGGTTGCGTTGTATATGGCAAGCCGTCCAGGTCCTGAAGCTGCAAAGCAGCTGGTATGATCTTTTTATGAACTGCAGATGTAACGGGACACACACCTTCCAGAAAGTTAAACTTTTGTCTCCTCAGTCCACAGAATATTTGCCCAAAAGTCTTGGATTTTTTTTTTTGGCAAATATGAGATTACCTTAACTGAGGCAAGTGAGGTCTCAGCAGTTCTTAAGATGCTGCTCCTGGATGAGTTGCCATTGTGCTCTTGGTGTAATTTTGGTAGGCCGGCCACTCCTGGGGAGGATTAGCTCTGTTCCAAGCTTTCTCCATTTGTAGATAATGACTCATGTTTGAGTGCTTCACTTTGACAGCTTCTGTTTAAGTGGTTTCCTAACGGGTCTGGCAGTAATCAGGCTGGGTGTGGTAATTAAAATTTAACTCCCCTTTAAAAAAAAAAGTGGTCAATCCAAAACTAAGTGATTTAGCAAGGAGGGGGGGCATTTTTCATACAGGGCCTGACAGGTTTCAACAGCTTTTTTTTTTTTTTTTTTTTTTTTTTTTTTTTCCCCCCCAGTACAAAATGCATTTTTGAAATTTCATTTACTTGTTTTCTTAGTGTAATCTCAAAAATTGATCTGAGTAATTTGCAGCAAGTGACAAATGTGCAAAAAACACAGGAAAGGGGCAAATATTTTCTACAGTACATTAACCAGAATGGATCACCATTCAAATGTCCTAGCATAGGCAAGAACAGAGGTTGTTGGAGTTCAAATGTGCTGGGGGGAAATTGCGGGCTAGTCAAGCTACAGAACTGTGATGGGTATATGGTTGCATACAGTCCACCCACAGTAGAATGTATGAATCCTCTTAAAATTGTGTGTAATATAAAAGTGAGGATCTATAAAGGAAGGTTTGGAATAACACGTGACCCCCAAGCCCACTAGCAGCTAGTTGGTAAATGCAAAGACCCAGGTGACATTTGTGATCTTTTAAATTTGATCGTTCTTTTTCTTTGAATTTTGTTTAACATCCTTCTCTTCTGTTGCCATCGCCACATTCCTCGACCTTAGGAATTCCAGAATGGTGTACATGGCTCTGATGTAGAAAATGAGACTGAGCTGGGTAATACACATAGTGATAAGGCTAAGCAGCATGATAGGACTGAACACGCTCTTCATAAAGGATGGTTTGCATTGTCTACCTGGCATTTTACCTCCAGATCCATGGTGGACTGACACAACTTATAGCCCTTCTGCAGTGCTGACAGCTCTTAGGGTTTTTTTTTCTGCAGCCTCTTACTCTTGTCTCCACACAGTGGTAACTTGCCTGTAAAACTGCTTTCCTGAGACCTTGCGGTCAAGGTATAGTCAGCTAAGCTTTGTCTTCACAGTAAAGTCTGTCTTCTGGTCCAGGAAAAGGCTC